CTTTTCTGTCATTTGTTTATTTAGTTGATTATTGTGATTTTACTACTGATTTGGATCATTCTGTTCAATTATTTAGTGAAGGAAATTTAATTAGTCAATCATATTGGTAGCTTATTACTTCTGTTATCCTTTTTAAACCTTGTAACTGTTACTCATTTCGTATGTTTAGATTTTTTCTGCACGTTTGCTTCAAAATCACGATGTTCTTTATATCTAGGAGGATCCTGTGCTGTTAATTCCCCGAGAAACACATCTGAAGCCTCGCGTGGCCATACTGAAGGTTTGTTCTGTTTTTATGCATTAGTTAATCTAAGATGTGAAGGTCAAATTAAAGAATCAATTACTTGTGCTTTTTTGCTAATAAACACTCTTAATATGTGTAGTTCACCATATCCATGGACTGTCGGCTGTTTTGCAAATGACTGCTGAACTCTATTGTGTTTGTCATCAAACCCCCTAGGGTTTGAAGTCTTTTACTGTATCTTATATTATCCTTCTTGGTGTTTCTCTCTGTAAATTGTAAAAGTCTTTTTGGTATATCTTAAATTATCATTTTGTCTTTCACGTTTTAATGATGTGTTATTTACTTTATTTTAGAAATGGATTAGGCATGGAATACACATCTTACTATATGTGTACTCAATATCTGAATTTAGTGATGAGTTCTTGTTCTGTGTGCAGGACATTACACAGACCCAAGATGGAGCCATGATGGTAACTGGACAGTGGTTTTATCGTCTGGAGGACGCAAAAAAAAGTGATGGCGGAAATTGGCAAGCACGTACTAGGCGGGAGATATTTTATAGTTTCCACCGAGATGAAGAATCTGCAGAATGTGTTTTGCACAAGTGCGTTGTGCACTTCATACCTTCAAACAAGAAACTTCCAAATCAAAAGCAACATCCTGGTTTCATAGTGCAGAATGTATATGACTCTGAACAGAAGAGGTTGTTCAAGCTAACAGACAGAGAATATGATGATGAAAAACAACATGAGATTGATTTGCTTGTCCAGAAGACAATTTCATGTCTAGGAGACCTTCCTGACATTGAACCCGGGGATAATTCTGTGGATCAGGAAGATCAGAGAACGGATAAACTTCTTTTAGGGAGGAGGAATATGCCGCATTTAAATGTTTCCAGGGAGGATGGAGGAAATTTTAGATCCCATCAATCTGTTAGTGCAGAAACTCCTGGAAGAACTGAAAAGTACTATGCTATCCTATCACAACACAAGGTACTCACCAAGGAAACACAGCGTGACAGGTGGTTGGAAAGGCTGCTACAAGCAATTGAATTTATGTGCGTGTCCATGGACAGCAAGAAGAATGATGGGAAAGAAAAAAGGGGTGTTGGCAGCAGTATTATTAATAAGATTAGTCGCTCGAATCTTGTAAATAGATCTCATGATGAGACTTCAAATGTACAGTATCATTTATTATTATTATTATTTTTTTTTCAGGTTATGAAACATTAAGCTGATCATTTTCAGTTAATACTAAATAGTCTGACTAATGATATTAGTTGTGAGAAGATACAAATAAATGTGAAATGTTTTTTTTCTTTGCACAGAGTGATATGTCCTTTGTCTGGCCAAATGCAGCTGTTAATGCTATAGTTGCTCTTGAGAAGGCTGCACACGATGGACTTTCCTCAGATTCAAAGAAGTATGACCAAAAGTTGCGGCATTTAAAATTTAGTCTTAAGGTTGCCAACTTCTTTTCTCGAGTATGCAAACAGTTTGATTAAATGCTTTAATCTATCCCCATCTGTGCTGTAATTAATCTACTTCCTTTTCTCTGTTTAGTATTTTTCTTCATTATAAATTCACAGTTCCTTTCCAGAACAATGCTGTATTAGCACGGCGTCTTCTGAGTGGGGAGCTGGAACCGTCCGATATACTGAAGATGTCTCCAAATGAATTAAAGGTCAATTCATTGTTTCCCTTTCCCATGTGTTTGTTTTGCCTTTTGGGCATTGAATATAATATTTGATGCTTGTAGTATCCATATCAGCTAATAATTAAAATATGTCCTTAAACATTGACAGTATCTGAGAAATTATATCTCAAAACATGTTTGGCTTTTAGGTTGAGGGTACAAGCCTTTGTTAAATAGGTGTTATTATTACAATTGACCCTTGCAAACCTTTTGGTTCTAGAAAATTTGTCTGGTGAGAAATTAACGTGTTATCTTATTTGTTTCAGTTAAAGTTTTTAAATGAGAGCTAATTTCCTTCATTTTATATATTCTACTCAATTGCGCTTCATTCTTGCTGTGGACTTGGATTATCTCCCTCTTGCAACTGTACACATGTTTTTATATGGGGATATGGATTTCTGTTTACTGGGATCTCTTTTTCAGATCTCTTACTATTTTAGATGGGAAAAACATGTATTTACAGGGCTGACGTGCTTTCAGTTTGGTCCTTGACATGCTAAATGACAGGTTCTAAGCTTGAAGAGCTTGAACAGAGTGAAACTGACATCAACATATGGTGTCTGTTATAAGAATTGCAACCAATTCAGTATTAATTTGATGCAAATTCAAATTTCCCTTAATTCTCTTAGTTTAACAGCCCCCAATTTTTTTCAGGAAGGTCTAACAGCAGAGGAAATGGCTAACCTTAGGAGTCGCGGCACATGCAGCAGGTTATTCAGTGTTCTTTCATCTGATGATTGTGTCAATGAAATTTTTTAGGCATGCAATTATATTCAAATAGAATTAACATGTGGATCCTCTTTAACATGTGATATTTAGTGCCTGTTTGACAACCATTAATTTATTTTATGGTTTCCTACAAGATCCAGACATTCATATAATAAAAAATTCAACACATATCTATATTTTTTAACTACACATTCTCCTAAAAATCACTATTCAAAACTATTTTTTCTACAATAATGGTTGTCAATCAGGCTCTCAGTATCGGAGATTTCACTTTATGAGTCATGGTTTTTTTATGCTATCCTTTTCTTTTTGTTTCTGACACAGATGACTGATGCTGGTGAGGTTCGTGAAAACGTTAGGATTCTTAAACTTTGGCCTTGGTCTATATTGCTGCAGTTTTTTGTATTAAACTGTTCTCTTTTTTACAATTTCAAAGGCTCTAGATGGGAGTACTCGAATGACTGGTGTGTTGCTATCTCCTGTATAGATCATTTTGAATACTGAATGAATAGCAACTGGCTATATATGTACCTTTAGCTTTCGCAGAAGGGTTGCCTTTTTCCTGCGTTTGTTTTGGTTCACAAATTTAATTTTGGTTTCAAATAATTAATATTTATCTTCAAGGGTATTGAAATGAATCGAGAAAAGAAAAGAATATTAATTTTGAAGTCTTAAATTACTGAGTTATGATAGTCAAATTGTATAAAAGAAAAGGGTTTATACAAATTATGATGATTTCAAAATGGGTAAAGATGTAGAGACGGCCACTAAGTATACAATTAATCAGTACCTTTTTGAATTTAGGAAGGAAAAGTTCTTGTAACCTATCGTTTTCTGTTTACGCTAAAAGTTACTCAAATTGGACCATGTTTGTCTTTGCTTACAAGCATTAAAATTCCCATCATATATTAAGAGAGTTGTACACGGGATCAATTCAATGTTTTTACATATAACTTTTATTGCTTTTGGGACACACTTTTAAAAATGAGTTTTGTTATTTGTACACTTTGATTGACATTCCAATATACAGACCTCTTCACAAGAGGGGATCCACAATATTTTTATTGGTCTTGTGAGGGGTCTATACATCGGAGTGTCAATTCCTGTGTACACTTAGCAAAGTCCTTTAGAAATTACCAACCGAAATACGATAGAGGAAGATCATTTTAGGTGGAGCAATGAAATACACAGAGAACAGAGATGACACTAACGACAAAAATGCTTTCTTGGATCAACATTGTTATTGAGAGATAAAAATTACCATTTTGTTACAGTGATAGAGTCAACGACAAAGTCAATAATCGAGAAGACACGTGCCAATCAGCCAATGACTTATTGGACAATTTAAAAAAATAAAATAAAAATTACACCCTATCAACTCCCCCGTCATTTGCCCGAGGAGCGTTATTTCTAAAATTATGGGAGGAAATGATATCATCATACTTTCTATTTCGATTCTGCTTCTAGTGCCAAGGCAACTTAATTATAATTAATTCTCAAGCTGGAATCCCACTCCCTCCCTCCCTCCCACACACTCTCTCTGTCTCTTTCTGAATTAGTCGGAAATTAAAGAATTATAATTCTTGTTCCGTTGGCACAAAATCCGGGTACTTCTTTTATTGTTTATTTCAAGATTCATTTCTTAGCACATTCTCATGAGTAATCTAGATTCTTCTTTAATTTTCGTTTTGACTTTGATGCTAAATTTTTATTGTTTGCACATGGGTTTTAACGAATTTTGTTTTCTTTATAATCTTCACATGAATTGAGAAGCATTTGACGAGTTCACCGTTTGTACACCAATGTCACTCTTGGTTTTATTTGAAGTAATGAATTTTCCTTTTACTTTGTGAAATGACCACTGCAAAGATTCCGCGCTTATGCAAAGTGGAAATAGTATAAATTTAATCAAAATTTGGATGCATATAAGTTTGAATAATCATTTTGTGTAACTTTGAATTAATTTTAAACCTCTTTTGGTTGACTGAGGTTCATATTATATCTTAATTATAAGTTTTGATGAATCTGGACCCTTATATTACATGTCGTCAACTTAGTTTGGTACTCCAGAGTATAAATTTAAGGATGTGAAAATTGGAACCTCTTGAATTTTTAAGTTCTTTGAGTTCTCATATGGGATTTTCAGCTGAATTTTGGCAAGAGTATTTAATTGATCGATTTAATCTGTACTGTGGTACTGTACCATAATTTCTCTGAACATAACTTTGTTGATATATTATCGTAGAATTTGAATTGCAACTTAATTATGTGCTGGAATCAACTCAATTTGCCTTAAGTTTTCAGCTCAAAGGCCCCTCCCTAAATCCCGTGTATGCTTGATTTCTCCCAGCTTGAAGGCATGGTGCTGATGTCCCAGGCTGGTTCATCACAACACGTTCATTACGAAATAATACAGTGCAAAGTTAGATATAATGGGGTTCGTAGCATTGCCAGTAACATGGCAGAATCCAAGATGAAGGATTTTTTTGGTTCAGGTCGATCTTCGTGGAATTCCTTGAAGGTGATGCGAAATTTGAATTTAGATGGTGTTGGTATAGGAGAGAGAAGAGGACATCAAGTAATTGTTTCTGCAAGTCCTCCTACAGAGGATGCCGTCATTGCTACAGAGCCATTAACGAAAGAAGATCTTGTAGGTTACCTAGCGTCTGGTTGCAAGCCCAAGGAAAAATGGAGGTCCAATTTCTAGCTCTTATCAGTACTTGGATTTGTGTTGCGTCTTTTCTTGTAATAATTTTTCTATTTTTATGTGTGTGCAAAAGCTTCTGCTCTGTTTTATGCATAAAAAAATTTTGTTCCACATTTTTGGGGTTAAAATGAGCAATTGAGAAGCTTTTTGTTCAGCTTTTTGCATTGCAATTGCCATCAATTGATTGGTCATTGGATTTGTCAGTAATGCTGAATGAAACATCTAGTTTTTCTTTCATCTTTCTTTCATTTTTCTTGGACAGGATATGTTCATGTTTAGTTATTTGACATCATCGTTAATATAGTCTTAGAGGGGGTACTTGGTTTTTGTTTTGGTCCTATTGCGTACTAGAATATTTCCATATTTTGGTACCTCCACACACTTTCTAACCCGATATCGCCTAAATATTTATAAGTAGTCTTTTGTTTCAAAATACACACCCTCCCTCTCCATCTGATAATGTTAATGCCTTTTTCTTCAATGTTATGACTCCACGACTCTCTATGTATGTTCTTGACTTAGCTCAAATAGATGAAGGCTGGGGTTCAGTTCTTGTTAAGTTGGTATCTGATATTTCTTCTGGCTTAAAGACAATCAAAGCTTTTCTGTGTTTATATCAATTGATTCTTTGAAATGTAGTTCCTGTATTGAATTCAGTTCTTTGCTAATTGTTGTTTATGCAAGTGTGTTAGAAGTTGTTGACACGTATTGAGCAGTGGTGATATATCTAATACTCCCATCTTTTAATCTTTGGGTCATGCAGGATAGGGACTGAGCATGAAAAGTTTGGATTTGAGTTTAGAACATTACGACCCATGAAATATGAACAAATAGTCGAGCTTCTTAATGGTATCTCTGAGCGATTTGATTGGGATAAAATAATGGAAGGTGACAACATTATTGGACTCAAACAGGTATTAATTTTATCTTGGCAATTTCTGGTATGATATAAATGGGTATTGGGTACGAATGGTGATGCTACACAGTTGCTATCAAGAACTGTCTTATATATCTCTTGTTCATCTTGTTAGGAATTAAAACCTTATCCCAATTATTAGAGAAACATTAAGCAAAAACAAAACCAGAAACACGCATGAGCAAAACACAGCCAAATTTATAGTGATTTTTCATTCTCAGTGTGAGAGCTACGTCCGCTTGGTGCTTGTAATTTTCACTATGTAGAATAAAGAGGATCACAAGATGATATCACTCCTTACTGTCAGTATCTATCTAAATACGGCTGACCTAAATAATCCTTTCTATGTGTGTAGGAATATTAGAGGGACTTAATACATGCGTAGAATGCCTAAATATACCACTGAACTCAATATGAGGTTGATCTGCATTAAAGGGATATGGTATGATTAGACTTCACATAGTTCAACACTTCTTGTATGCTTAAATACATCTCATATACTTATCGGTGGTCTCTATCTTCAATTTGTAATTTATCTAAAATCAATAGCATTATTTTTATTGTCTCAAATGCACCGCTACTAAAAGAATATTGAAGTTACCTTTTTCAGTCTCGATTAACTTCTTATGGACAATTTCATCGTCTATTGCCAGGGAAAGCAAAGCATATCACTGGAGCCCGGTGGCCAGTTTGAGCTTAGTGGTGCACCTCTTGAAACTTTGCATCAGACTTGTGCTGAAGTTAATTCGCATCTTTACCAGGTTTATACTTAGTATATTTCCATGTTTAAAAGGTTATAGCATTAATAAGCCCGTCATCTTCCATTTCTCGAAATTTTTAACATTATGGAGTGGGGCACAACTTTTTGTGTGATGGATATAGATTTATTGTGCCACTTTCTCTTTCTCCGGAGAATATTATATTTACTAGTGAAAATTTTAATGCAGTAGGACTCTGTGTATCAAACACCTGAAGCATGCACAACTATTTCCGTGGTGAACCCAAAAAAATAAAAATAAAAATGGAGACATGCACAACACTCTTTGTGCTGCTTAAAACTGACTCCAAAAAGGATAGCTTAACGATGTTTTTTCGTGTGATATGCAGGTTAAGGCTGTTGCTGAGGAGTTGGGGATTGGGTTCTTGGGAATTGGATTCCAGCCAAAATGGGGTCTTAAAGATATACCTGTGATGCCAAAGGTTAGACTTTTATGCCTTCAATAAAATGTTGTGTTTGCATTTGACGGATATTTAAGTTGCGGAACCATTTCATCATCGTTGCCCAACTTACTGCAAGAAGGTCGATAAGGAGTGAAAATGCAAAGATAATGCCATGCCATTAGATGGATGTTTTCCATGGGAAAGTTTGTGAGATACAGAAAGATGATTTTGCATTTCCAATAAACCTTATGTTTGCATATTAACTTTCACAACAATTCTGATTTAGATTAAGGTTTATAAGGTATCTGCATAATTAAAAACTTAGTTTCTGTTAGTCCATGTGATTTTCCAGTGCGTTAACTATTTCTTTCCCTTGAACATTATACACCTATGTTGGATTTGATGAGCTGCCAGATATGCTGAAAAATTAATTTTGATCAGGGAAGATACGAGATTATGAGAAATTACATGCCCAAAGTTGGGTCTCTTGGACTTGATATGATGTTCCGAACATGTACTGTTCAGGTAGTGCTAATAAAATTGTTTTTGGGAGATTATGATTGAAGTTACTTTAAGTTATGACTATAACTTCTTAGAAACATTGCCCACTTTCTCTATTGTTATATGTTTGTTTCCAAGCATTAGTGTTCTGTACTTTATATTTGACAGGTGAATCTGGATTTCGGCTCTGAAGTTGATATGATAAAGAAGTTTCGAGCTGCTCTTGCCTTACAGCCTGTATGTCACTGATTTCTTGTCCTCAAAATTCAGTTGATTATGTGGAATCTAACTTGTAAGTAAAACAGGTAGCTACAGCATTGTTTGCGAACTCGCCTTTCACTGAAGGGAAACCAAATGGTTATCTCAGCATGAGAAGGTACTTATATGTTTTCCTAAGTATCTACAAAGTTCTATTTTTTATGCTATTTGATTAGATGTGATATTATTCTTTCTTGTAATTCAGCTTTTCAAAGATTGCATAATAATTATTTTTCTTTGGCAGCCAAATTTGGACTGATACTGATAATAACCGTGCTGGGATGCTTCCGTTTGTTTTTTATGACTCTTTTGGGTAAAGCTTCTTTTTTAAGTGTTATTCACGATAGATTTTGAGTAAGCTACCACAATTCTTTTCCTTATCAATTATTGAACATAAAATACCTAAAGTAATCACTTTTAAGGGCAACATGATCCTCTAAAATAACTCTAGCTTCATTCTTATTCCAACCATCAACACAAGGACATTCCATGTATTTATTCTTAATTCTACTTAATCTAAAACCTTTTAGATCTAAAAGTGCTCATCTAGAGTTCTAACTTACGATTTATCCCCCTGTAGTCTCAATGTAAATAGAAATATCAACTATAGAAGAAAGATTCAGGTCTCAAAAGTAATGGAGGCCATGAAGATGCAAAAAACAATTGGTCCTGATGGAATTTCTATTCAAATGTAATGGGTGTTTTACAGTTGTCAAGAATTTGTCATGCCTTATTAAATAAATCTCATACTAATTTACAAATTTAAAATAAGATTTTCTGTTAGAAATAATTAGGTTCTAGTCCTACTTCTCCTTGATTGAGACTTGTCTATGAAAATCCATAATGCTAGACTGTAAAAACCTTCTTTATCATCCTCACTTTTTCCCTTCTCTTTGGAAAGTTGTTTTACCATAGAAGTAATTCTGCAGTCATATAATAAGCAGCTATTTCGTTATAGCATTTGTAATTTTCTTCTAATCTTACCCAGTTACGAATTTTGCAATTCCTTTGAAAAGGATTATTGACGAATTACTTCATGCTTAAGTACATTCATTATTTTTTCTGGCACAGGTTTGAACAATATGTAGATTATGCTCTTGATGTTCCCATGTACTTTGTATATCGGAAGAAAAAGTATATTGATTGTGCTGGATTGTCTTTTCGGGTTTTTACCTATCCTCAACTCTATTACAATATATTTTACTACGTTATATACTTGACTACAATTATATTCGTTTCAATCTGCTACTCAGGATTTTATGGCTGGTAAACTTCCGTGTCTTCCTGGTGAATATCCAAATCTCAATGATTGGGAAAATCATCTGACAACAATATTTCCAGAGGTTGTCATCTTAAGTCGTGATTAATTGGCTGAAAGTGTTCGATCAATTATGTATCTTGAAGTGATGATGAATTTCCATACCCCATTCCAGGTCAGGCTTAAAAGATATTTGGAGATGAGGGGTGCTGATGGAGGACCTTGGAGGATGCTATGTGCCCTGCCTGCATTTTGGGTATTGTCTTTACCATCTGTCGTGTTCATCTGGAATATGCAATGGCTTATATGGTGCATTTTCAAAACTAGAAAACAAAAGAATTTAGAGATGGCTAGTTAAATGGTTCTACATGTCGGTGACAGCTTAAAGTGAGAGCTTGAAATCATAACATACAATAATCAGCATTTACTGATCTTTCTTATTCAGGATTCTTGATTGGTATTATTTTAGTTCTATCTCATGAACCGTTTTGGTTTATAAATTTGGCTAAGGATTGGGAAAAGAGCATAAGGGTCTTCATGAAACAATCAGGAATTGGCTTCATTTTCAATATCATTGTGTTATCATGACATTTCAGGTAGGTCTCTTGTATGATGAAATCTCCTTGCAAAATGTTCTGGACATGACAGCTGATTGGACTCGAGAAGAAAGACAGATGTTAAGGAGTAAGGTAAAATATCAATTGGCTTATCGATGAAAAGTTGCCTTCAATTAATTCATCTACATTGCATATATGGATATGAGTATTTGTTGGCATATTGCTGTTTATGAGACTTTTCCATTGTGCAGAATTTAACCATGTTTTTTCAATTCCTATTCTGCACATTTTGTTGCTCGAGTAGTAGATTTAAGAATGCAGTGACATTATTACTGTAGATAAGTAGGAAAAGGATGTTAAAAGTGTCAATTTTGAATATCCTTGTAATTCGTATGACCTTTGCATTGATTGCTGTTCGATGAAACTCAAAATAAGCATAAAATTAATGTAACCAAAAAAAGAAATTAATAAATCAAAATGAAAAGACAAAAAAAGGGTAGCATTTTTCAAAACCTCTTAAGCTCTTGGCAGCTGCCAAATTTTGTGAAAGTGGAAGTGGTGCATTTTTAATATGCTGCTAAAGGAAGAGATGGCATTAGCATTGGGAGCAGTGATGGAATTTTTTACCACCACCACTGTGATCCTCACCACAACATCTGCTCCATTTTATAATTTTATTCCATGAGAAATGGGCTTCTGTGTTCACATGAATGTTCTTCCTATTTGTAATTCTATTATTAATTTCGTGAGCTTTCTATCATGTTATGTAATTTATACTTTAATTTTTTACTTATTTTTTGGTTTATCCATCCGATTTTTGCTCGGTTAAGCACTGCTCCATCAATTTCTTACAAATCCGGTGCTTTCTACTAGTGAAGCAAGAGTCTTGGTATTCTTCCTTGGAGAGAGAGTTTCTAAATCAATTTTCATTTCTATTTTATTATTTTGGTCATTGCTGTTGTTTCTGTAACTGTCACGGTTGTCATCCATCAATATCACCATTTTGAGATAATTGAAGCTGCTGCTTTATAGAATTTGATGTCTGAGGACCAGAGACCCTAAGGTCTTTAATATAGATTGCGTATTGACTGATTTCATTGTTATTGAAAATAATAAAGTGCCCACATTTAACAGTTAGAACGTTTTGTTCATCCTTAACTATTGAGATGTTACCCACTCAAGAGATGATGAGGTTTATATACGTGCGTATGTGGGTGTAAGTTTGCAGGTTCAGTTTTACGTAGAAGGGGAAATCTTAACATATGACATCAGAATGTGGTTTTCATAGAGTAAAACATACTGATCTTACTCCCACATGCATCAGAAATATGCTCTTGTTTCACCTCATCAACCTCAATTGATAAAACGAGTATTTCCTTCATAGTTACCTTTTGTAGCTTTCAAGCCACCATCAATTCGAAACTATGTAATAGGTACCAAAGAGTGGTCTGAAGACTCCATTTCGAGATGGCCTGCTGAAGCACGTGGCACAAGAAGTTGTGAAGTTGGCGAAGGTGACATATTTCATAATTGTAGTTCTTAGTCGCTTTTTCTAAAAAATAAATAAACCACATGAAGTGGCTTGATGTGATCACTATAGGTTACAAAAGATATATGGAAATATCAAATTTTCTTTCTTTTTTTTCTTACTGAAAATGTATATTCTTTTTCATAGGATGGCTTGGAAAGAAGAGGTTTTAAGGAAACAGGATTTCTAAATGAAGTCACTGAGGTGGCTAGAACAGGTACTCCATTGATTCTTAGGTTGCAGACTGGTACACTTATATTCTGTTTGTTTACTGAGTTGAAATTATGTATGTGAGTTCGTCCTCCCACTTGTTATTCTCAATACAAATGGAGACATTAATGTTCCACCGGACAGGTAAACAAGTTACTAGAGCAAAATTGTTATTTCTCATGTAAAATCTCGCTTTACTGTTGAAACCTTATTTGTCATGCAGTTCGTATTGTAATCCCTGCTTCCGAAACCTTCCCTGGATCGTCAATCTTCTGAAAATGAGTTTATTATTATACAAGTTACTTTTTTAGTGTCCAACTATTAGAATTGCAGATTTGGCTCGAGTATAACTTATTTGTCTTTAGTGCTTTTTATTTTTTTGGCACCTCAAAGCAATTTTGTTTGATATTTATTGTTAACGTACTTCGCTAGGTGTAACACCAGCCGAAAAGCTCCTCGAATTGTACCATGGGAAGTGGGGGAAAAATGTGGATCCTGTTGTTGAAGAGCTGCTATTCTGAGGTGGTTCCAAAACCGTGTACTTCTTTACGACCAGCAATTTTTATGTTCTTTCTGCTTTTCACAGCTTTGGATCCTGTTTTTGAAGAGCTGCTTTACTGAGGTGGTTCCAAAACCGTGTACTTCTTTACGACCAGCAATTTTTATGTTCTTTCTGCTTTTCACAGCTGTTAATATCATTTGAGTTATCTCAGTTAGATTTTGATGAATCCTGTTAGATAAAAGGCATAACAGAATAAAATGTTGTGTACTATAATCATTTGAAACTTTCTACAGTTCCCTTGTAGAATCCATGAAAGTAAAAATGAAACATAAAAGTAACTGAAATAGTTGCAATATATTTTTGTGAAAATCAATGATTGGCAGACACGGTGGTGCATGGGGGTCAGGCGATCCCCCAACTTTTGGGCAATTTATTTATTTATTTAACAAAACCGCAGCATATCTCAAGTCTTTGCTCACACTCTCTCCCTAACCCCTTTCACCAAAATCCTAACCATCTTGTTCTTCAAATTTTGTCTATAATTTCTCTACAAATTAACACATCTATTACAAATCTTCACTTCCAAATCAAAATTTCAACTAATTATAACCTAAATTTCTCTAACATTGCTGCATAGTGATTATCATTACATCATCGCTGACCTTGTCTGCCATTGCAATTCCAACTACTTGAATTGATTTTTTAATTGATTGTTTGCATATAGTTGTCCCCAAAAATTACTAATAGACTCCGAGCCATTTTCAGTAGAATGATACGCATTTGAATTGTGTGTAGTGTTTTTCTTTCTATCCTTTGTTTTGTGCTCTGGGAGATATAGGAACTCTTCTATAGTTTCTTGTTTTTGGTTGTTTTCGCCGTCCCCAGTATGAATTAACGCTCTTAGTAGCCACTCGACACTACCTCTATAGGCAAGGCTGAGACATGTCACATGGTTCACGAACCTAACTTAACACTATCAAACTCGTTTAAGAACGTCATTTGTTAAAACAAATTCATATTGTTCGTCTGCAAGTCTGAACTTCACTATGAAAGTGAAACACCAACTCAAACATAGCCAAAGAATCGATTCAAAGACTGCAAATTTCATACACCAATATAGATTAAATCATATGTAAACTACTAGATTTCACGTATCAAAATGAACCAGTCCCTAAACAAAACGCAGTACCAATAAAAATGGAGGTTTTGTACAATGCTAGAACCAAACCGAATCGAATCAAAATTGGTCAGTTCCGGTATAGCCTTTATTTTGTAAAATCTCCATAATTTTTTGTTTTTACCAACTTCAATGTTGCTGCAAGGCTTAAATTTGTTGTTTTCCCTTCAAGGAAAATAGAGTGGTTGAGAAAATTCATGCGCTCAATCCAATTTGGATACCTTCTTTTTCAAAAAAATCATGTTGAATCGGGTATTGAGTACTAGAAAGAAAATCGTTTAGTTGTTGATTTTAATGCCTGAAATCAATTTAAAGCAGAACCCAGCACTTGTATAAATACGCTGTCTATGTGTTCAATTGAGCGGATTAAAACGTGCTATAAAGCAAGTTAATAAGGACACAACACCTAATGTAATGTGGTAAATTTCGAAAAGAAACATCGGCAGAAAGAAAAATTTCCCCATAGACGATTTGGTGTTATTAAAATTGATGAATAAGGATTGCGAGCAAATGTTAATATTTAGAATCTTGAATCAGAAAATTGACCAATATAGAAATACTTCAATTCTTAAAGTCTTCGTGTTACTTTTCAAGATTACTAATAGAAATGAGTATCATAGAATAAAAATTTATTGAAACAACTGTAAAATGGCAGAGCACGATTAACTAACTCAGTTTTGCTACGGGAACAGATTCAATGACAGATTAACTTTCTAAGGCATGCACAAGATTCAAGTGATTCTTAACATACCCAGTTTCTTATCCTAGCAACAATATGTTCCAGCAAAACTTTACAATCTCAGAAACATAGTACACTGGCAAAAAAATCTTACAGCTAATACCAGTAATTATACTCAGAAAGCTTCGTGTATTGTCTGTACTCAGAAAGCTTTGTGTATTGTCTGTCTTCCAAATCTACAGAATACAGGCAACTGTCAAACAGATTTAGTTTCAAATCTTTAATGACAAGTTCGGATCTCCTTTGGCCCCGAAAAGAAAGGGGTGGGCGAAATTACGTGAGAGAAAGAGGGCTAGCTGGCTTTCCGCTTTCTTTCCTTGCTACGCTCATTCACTTCCTAAGCTACTTTACTTCGTATACTAACTATTTGACCTTTCTTGAAACAATATTCTCAGAGGCGGAAGGAGCCAGCATTCTTTTTCTTTCTTCATATTAGGTTAAAGTATAATTTGGTCACTTCTATCAGGAATTAGGATAATTAAGTTCCGCAATTTGGTCACTTCTCTAAGGAATCAGGATAAATAAGTTCCGCAAAGGAAACATGCCTAACTCCCACGACTTGTCATACATGGTATCCCAACATTTAAGTCTCATAATATAACATCGACCCCCAGTCAACGTTTACACGATTCACCAAACAACACATATGAGCCTCGGCTCTGCACAATTGAGATGATGCTCAATATCCTGCTCACCTACTGTAGCATCACACAAATTTGACAAACTAAAGGAGGCCACTAATGCCTAATACCATGCATCACATTTGTCCAACCTTCACAATACAGTGCGCATTGTTTTACAAATCATACCTAGGAATTCTCTCATTAGAAATGATCTTCTACCCATGGTGGCTATACAAAATATACTCGTCGCAGTCAAGCCTACAATTTAAAAATTGTAGGCCCATGTCAAAGGTGGGCAAGATAACACCTACCCACTATGGACATTAGATCATTTCTGATTCTCTCATTTAAATCAGTAAAATGCTGAGTATCACTTTAAAAGTGCAAGTATCAATACCATTTATAGAATCTTGTCCTATCTCAAGTTTTGTTTCGTTTCAATATTTAAGCAGATACATATGCCTAACAATTGAAGTGCATCTCGGATGGTAATTAGTAATTACTCAAACCATGATATAATTCAGGAAAGACTGGCACACCTTCAATGAAGAAATTCGAAACCAAATGCTTTCAAGCTCATGATATTTTGTCCAGATGCAGCAATAAAAATAACCCAATTCTTCCACGAATTGCACAAAATAAAATCTACTTCTAATATGTAATAACCATTTTATATTGGAAAAAATCCTTTTATTTCTAATAGACGAAAGATCTTATCAAAGAAAAAAAAAAGAAATAAGTACTAAAAACGTTTAAAAGCCAAACATAGCAATCAGCACTCAATATCTAAAATACCTAATGTTCCCAATAAGGTATAGTCATGTACAGCAGCAACATGCACATCAGCTGTCCACCGACCTCAAGAACTTAGACACAAGAGACGTCATTATTTAGGATGCATGACCATTAAATCCTTCCCATTATAAACACCCTGAAGTTCAAGGTTTGCAGCTTGATACGAAGCTAAGAAGAAAAAGAAATGTAAGATTGTCTGAAATACGATATGGAAAAGAATATTTATTATTTAAGGGATAAAAGACATCAGTAAACTTCTTTTGATAAAGTAAACAAACTCACCTTTCCAAGATTGGAAATTTTTCTGGTTTACAGGAGATCCAGTCACATTTTCTATTGTCGCAAATAGCATGTCCTGAGGGGTGCTCTTCAGTTCTTGGACGACAGCGTAAATACTCTTCCCATTCTCAAAGTAAATGTGATTATTCGGGTGTTTGGTCTTGCAACCAGCATGTTTCTCAAACTCATAAGCATTTGTAACCTGCATAATATAGTGGGGAGATAAACGTTAGTAGGCTATGCTCACACACAATGGAACTATCAATGAGAATTATCAGTAACATTTACTTTGGAAAGCTTGCACTCCTTGCAGCCACACAAATAACCAGTCCCTTTCACTACTCCTCGAAGATCTTTCTGCATGCAAAAATATATAGTGGTACAAAAAAACCTCGAAAGGAATGGAAGAAAAAAACGAATATCAGAACTCACCTCCCTTGACCACGAAATGTACTTCACAGGAACTCCTTCAAGTATACCAGTTGATAACAAAATTTTAACGTTTGAGGGGAAGTCGTTTGAAGGGACCTTTATAATTTTCTTCTTCTCCTTGTTGTTGGAGCCACTCCTTGACCCTGAAGTACATGCTGAAACAGAATTTATACTTGGGTACTTCACAAAATCTCTCTGTTGTAAAGCCCCTGAAGGTTGAGCAGAGGATTGATTTAGGAAAGGATTCCAGTAGCTTAGGAGCCTGACAGATGGATATCTTGCTACTGGATTATCACGAAAGCCTCCAAAAGTTATAGTAGTATTATTCCCCTTATTATGGCTTTGGTCCATTGATAGGAAACTGGAATTTCCTTTACTGTAAACAGATCCTAGTGATAGAACAGTAGCATCCTGCTGACCATGAATTGAAGTGATTGATGCAATATCTATCCCCCCCTTATCATTAGTAGGACATGTTGACATATAAGCTTCATTTGCTTTATTGTAGAAACTGTCCATAGAAACGAAAGTTTCATGGCTCCTGTAGTAATTAGGAACGATTGGCATTAGATTGCCATTTCCCTTTTCACTCCCCTCCCCAACTGGAGTAAAATTGTCGAACTTTTTGTTGAACGCTTGATCAATAGAAGGAAGATTATTATCTATCTCGTTATCGTGATAACCCGGTAGCATGCCATCTCCCTTGTTGGAGGCCTGTCCCAGTGAAATAAAGTTCTTATCTATCTTACCGAAGGTGGTATTCACTGAAATGGCACTTCCATCTTCGGTATTATAAGTTGGTCCAAGTGACATATAATTACTCGTCCCGTGAATGATGGAGCTAATCATTTTATTCTTGTCTGCAGGGTTATAGGGTATCCCTCCAAATTCTGACAGGTGATTATCTGAAACGATTTGATTTCTGCCTCCAATACTCAGATACAAAGGATCTTCCACATCACGGGACACTGGTAAACAAATGGATGAATCAATTTCTACCTGATCTTCCGAACCCTTCTTTACCATATTCAGAACCCCCGTGAGAGAAACATTCTTATCTGCAAAATTTGAAAACCGGATGGGCTTAGGCCGAAATAGGCAGTTGCCTGTTTGACCTGACTCAGAACTGGAAGTGTTGCCCAACAGGGATATGTTCATGTTTACAGTTCCTGAAGCAGGTTTGTCGTTAGCAGATTCTACTGCTTGCTTCTTGTTGCTGTGTAGCTCTTGCTCAGTTGTATCCATAGAACACTGATGAGCACGTTTTTGCTCAATCCTATTAGAATTGTCATTACCCAACTCTCCATTAGGAAAAGAATCATAGATCCAGGACTTCAAAATGATCTTTTTCTGAAAAAAATCATCAAAATAACACGAGTTATATAACCTTAAATAACAAATAACAATGTCATGCAACTAGTGGCAAAATAACCAAGGTTGAGAGGAGAACACGGCGCAGAATTGATGAAGTTGAGATTATTGTGGATGACAAAGGAGATGGATAAGGAAAAGCATATTTGACACAAATCACTAGACAGAAAATGGGTAAAATGAAAATAAAGAATAGCTTATAATATTTTAAAGCAAGCATCTGAAAATTTGTATAATCACTTCCTTTAGAGGCAGGAAAAATAGAGTTGGATAGTCATAATTGCAAAGATTCAGTCCTCCAAATCGAATGATGAGGCATCCCCATTGCAGTGAGTTAAGTAAAAGTTCAGCAAATTCTTTATAGCTGAGAATATCAACATTCAATTTATGAAGACCATTAGAATAAGAGACTATGGAAATGATAGAGTGGGTGGTGGGTGTTCTAAAAATTGTTGATGTTGAATTAGGGAAGCAACTTGTACTTCCGGCATACAAATTCTTCAAATAATTTCGAGCCCGATATTTTGAGAAGGGAACGTACAATGCTTTTCTGTTTTGGGACGATGTTCTAGCAAAAGAAAGTTGAAATATCAAATATACTTTGTGATTCAAACTCTTCCTTGCTAACAGTAGAAGGAACATTTCAGAATACATGGAAACAGAAGTATTTCTTTAGTATCTATTAACTAATACACTCTTTAAATGGAGGTATTTTGGAAAAGAAGAATTCTAATATTATTTTATTATACCTTTCAAAATGCATCCAGAAATCTGTCTAATTCTATCAAACTAGAAATTTTATAATACCAAATTTTCCCTTCATATGTCCACAACCCCACCTCCTAACCACCATGCCACTCCCACCCCTCCTCCAAATAATCATCTCCACCATCCCTACCTCCCCCATCTTCAGCTCCTCATCAACCCCCTACTCTGCAATAGAGGCAAGGTGGGGGTGGGTATGGGTGTATGGAGTTATGGAGTGGGGAGAGGAGGTAATGGCCGTGTGTAAAAAGAAGAATTAAGGATATTGTTGGAAGGGGTAGACGTGTTTTTTCTATTTTGAATTGGGATGGTAGGTATAAAAAGAAGGTGTATGTCGAAAAAGATAGAAATGGTTAGCATTTAGAAGATCCTTTTTTGGGTGAGTACCGAGTAACCAATATTTTAAAACATCAGGAAAGTAATGTATTTCATATGCAATGCAAACGCTATATCCTAACGTGGTAAACCCTACAAGTTTATGCAGTCAGTTTAAAGTAATTGAATTTGGAGTAGAACAATGCCCTAATGGGAAGGGGCAGCTCTATTACCAAATTTCTAGCACAATACTATATTTTATAACACTTTACACCATGATGAAGCAAGGTGTGACATGAAACAATAATGCTCAGATAAGTGTTTTAAAGGTCAAAAATAGAATTATTCCTCCGACACCTTGATATATCATGATATATAACTTCATAAAATCGAACTAGAACCCTGTAAACAATGTATGCAAAATAAGTGAAGGGGGCCAACGCTATGAAAATAATCCCTCCACATGCTCTAATATAGGGTGAGAAGTGCATACATAAACTTCATGTGTGCGCAAAACTCATTAATTTATGGTTGATAGCAATAATACGACGAAAGCTCGCATACACAAATATAAAGGTATTGTCATTATGGTGGAGCCACTCAACAATGTAATATAGCAAACAATCAATGAATAATGCTGAAGCCTAAGAAAGCATCTTAAAATTTGTTTTTTCAAATTCTTTTGACACGTGTATGCATGTACGGAGTATGACTAGTCGTACATGTTTTTTTTTTTATCTCTATTGTCACAATCTCATTTATGTTCTTACCAAGATCAGTTAACACCGTGTTCATGTGGCAAACAGGCTCCCAGATAAGTACATAGCACAAAGCTACTCTTAAATAGTTAACAACAACCAATGACATTAATTTCATTCTTATAATTGAAAAGAAAAGTACATTATTAACATTACAAACCCCAAAGAATCTGGAAGATATTCAAGCTAACTCGAACCATTTAGAACTAGTGTTTACACGTGTATACCAATTTACGTACTAATGTATGCATGGCCATGCCTACATATAATTCTTGTTTGTGCACATTGTTACACCGGGTCCAACATGTGAATAATTTCAGGAAATCATCATAAAACTACCAATGCAGAAATATATATCAAGGAAGATCATACAGGCACTTTCTTCTCAATTTTTTCAAAAGGTATTAGATCAAATTAGACAAATGAAATGAATAAATTAATAAATCCTAAATTTATCATCCAAATTATCCATCGAAAAAAATACACACATGAATACATACAAAATGGAACTGGCACAAGTCTTACCATTTTTCACATTAGTTTCTACCAAAGAAATGTAAATTCAATCATCCAGTCCCCCTTGAAAAACCTCTGCAGCTTTAACATGCACTTTATCTGTACCAGCCAGAACAAAGAAACTAAACAATGTGAAAAAAGAGGAAGGTAATTTAACAATGTGGTTAGATTATATGATGTAATAAGATTATGTTTAAATGGTGTAGATTTTAGAAATCCATTCCCTTTTGGTCAAACAGTTGTTGAAAATTAATTAAAAGTGATAACCATAAAGATCATGTTTGGCTGAGTTTAAAGTAAGTTAAGTTACTTCTAAATAGTTTTTTGTTTATAGACAATTTTGGATAAGTAATTATTTATTTTAAATCTCGTTTATTTGATTTTAAGTAAAATGTTTACGTTTAGACAAACATTCACCAAGTCGTTTCAATACCTTCTTTTGGTCATTATTCGTATGTTTGACAAATAAGATGACGTCTTATAAAATGAGGTCCTAATCTATATTTGTGGCTCAAAATAAACAATGATTGGACCAACGTCTACTATGCAAAATAAGTATGGGACCCGGCTGTATTTTTCTTGAAAGACATGGGTTACATGTATTTATTGTCCACACAATACAAGGGATATACGTCTTATAAGTTAGTTCTCAAAAAGAAGTTTTAACCTTTTCAATGCTATTGTCAACTTGCTCTCTTGAGTCATTTCTTTGATTATATAAATTACATAAAGCTAATTTACACTTTGGCTCAAGAAATGCATACATCTTTTGTGTTATTGACCATTTTTGACTTATTATTTGAGTAAAATCCAACATTAATGGGTGAATTTATATATAGTTTCATTGAAAATTAAGTTGCTAATGATATATTTAGCAAGTTACGTAAGAGCCTACCATAAATTTATTATTTGTCGTTTTCAATCGTATCGAGGGTGACATACAAAATATTTTTGAGATATGCTTATCATAAATGAAGATAAAAAAATGAAAGGAAAAAAAAAAGAAAAAAGAAATGAACAAAAGTAGTACGAGTTAAGGAAAACAGATAGCATAATAGAAAGATAACCCGGAAATTATTATTTTGGCTATGAAACTTATATAATTTACACAAGCAAGGAGCTGTTATTTAGCATTGAAAATAACAAGGCCGACAGGTGAAAATATTAACTCTACATTGAAAGTTGGGAAGGTGAACAGCCAATCTAATCTTCTAGCCCTCGAGTCACTGTGGATTATTGAAGCTCATGCCAATGAATAAAGAAAATTAAAGCGGTTCAACAAATTCCTTGGAAATGGGTTTTTGGTCATTATTCTTATCATCCTCCTCAAGCTGGTGAGGATTATGGAGTGAACTCACATCTTTTGTTGAAACTGAATGAATGAAGCTCGAATAAGAGGTTTGGTGAAAATGTTGCAATTTGATGAGTTGTAGGAACATATCGTGTAGAGGAAAGACCTTGAGCAATTTTTTCTTAAATGAAATGGAAGTCCATTTCGATATGCTTAGTGTAGATGGACATGAAATTGTTGGGATCGGTGATTCCACCACAAGAGATTAATGGCTTCAATGAAGTAACAAAGATCACAATAACATCCACAAGATTTAAAGTAAAGAAAAATAAAAGAGAACAAGAGAAATTGCAGAGGAATGAAGATTTTATTCAATGACAATAATGGAGAGAAAATACAAGAACTTAGCAATATGCTTCATACAAAATTGAATAGAAGAGACCCATATATATAGGGGATAGCCACGACCTCAAAAACCTAGAAGAAGTTGAGCAAAACATGGAAACTTAGGTTAAGAAACGTGTAAGGAAACAAAACCCGGACGGCGCCGAAATGCACCATGCGATCGCATGGCTTGCCAAGAATGCAGGGACTGAGTCCCTGCATATGCCTGTGCGACCGCATGGTGCAAAGCCATGCGGTTGCATGCCTTGCACCGCCAAAGGGAGTGGTTTCCTTCTTTAAGCTGGACTTTAATTCCTTTTCCAATTCCAACTCTTTCCAAACACATACCCATGACCTAATTTGAGTCACCAACCCAACAATCTCCACCTTGACACAAATTTCGGTACATCGAACGAAGCTCCAAAATTTCTCCACCTGGAAAAATAAATCCGACTGTATCAGAATAAATCAATCTCCTTATTCAATAACCAAACTCTCCAATTGAATAAAACCATCGCCTCTGCCCAGTGTCCACAAGCGACACCTGAACCCCACCCCGGGTTCCCAAAATTCAAACAAAGAATTTAACAATCACCAAACAGGGTCGAAGCACACCCTGTAGCAGAATCCATACCCAATGCTTTAACTGAAGATCCCTTACTAGAATTGCCATCTTCAAACATCCCAAAAGCATGATCAACTCCATCTGAAATCCGGTACCTATGCTCCATAAGTTTTCCACTAGCAAATAACTCAGAGCCCAACAAAAAAGGCACTGTACCAAATTGAAATTCCTCAATGGAACTAAACCTATCCAGCTGCCTCCTAACTGGTTCTGCACGCCC